TCAGTCTCTCGAGCGTTGACCAAGAGCACGCAACGTTCAAATGCCTCTTGGAAAGTTCCACTTTTCTTTGTCTTCATCCTGTGGGGATTCTACTCCTTTTCCCCATTTCACCCACGCCCATTTTCTCTTACATTACTTTTTTTTTTTTTTTTTGAAAATTGGAACGAAATTTCCGATTCTGATTTTGGAACAATATGTTTCATTCTGACTTCCGAATATTGCGATTCCGATTGATAACGATTTTTTTTATCGAAATCGGAATATATATGAGATTCTTATTGCCGATCCAGTTTTAATTTTTGAAAACAATTCCGATATTCTCTGGAAATACACATATAATGTCGATATTATTATGCATTTTATATTTTAGATTAATAAAAATTTGGAAATTTCTTAATTCCACCGATTCCGATTCAAATTTTCGATCTTGGAAATATGAAACTTCACCTTTTAAAATTTGGGAAAAATCACTGTCCTCTGTTTATATTTCACTTTGTGATTTTTTCTTTTAGGCTTTTCTAAAGTTGTATGGCCCAGATTACTGTTATACTGTAACTTACTAATTTGTAATCATATGCATGAAATTTCGAATAAAGCATTAGAGCATATGTATGTCTAAAGATTGCTGTATATAATTCAGACTGAATTTCTTAAAGTAAGACACATCACAACTGCTGTCTGCTTTTATACAATAAATTAAATAAATAAATAAATAATATTTGTGTTTTGATTCATTCAATTCAAACTGCTAAATGCAGCAATTGTCCATTGATTCATTGATTGTCTAGCTGAAAACCCATCAGCCTACCTAAAACAGTTTTTACCAGTTCCAAATACTTATTCAATAAGTGAATAAGAAAAAATAAAATAAAAGTTTTTAGTGTTAATTAATCAGAATTATGGGAGTCCAACCTAGCTAATTAATTAAGACCAATAAAAAGACAAGTATCTCTGTGATAATATAGAAGTAAAGAATATAATAAATACAGCTCAATTATTCTTGACAACCTAAAGTATGTCTGTCAGTTTCATTAAAAAAAATTTGGTAGTTCACTTACTTCCAAAGTGACAATTATTATATTTATGCAATAACTTCTTAACTATCTAAGTTTGACATTTGTTAACACACACAATTGTTTCACAAATTTACTGCAGCAATCTGTGTACAATTTCATCTAAAAGAAAAGATAAAACAGAAGTTTCTTGGTAATAACCAGTGTGACAGGCCCCAGTTTTTTTAGTTTTGGGTAAATTACAACAACCCCTTGAGGTATGGTCAATTTACTAAAAGACCCCTCTTGTTTGGATAATTACATCTACCCATCAACTATGATTTTTTTCTTACACCTCCACCCTTATGAGGTCATATTCGACATAATTATCTAGATTTCGTAGAATATACTATAGTTTGTACTCGTTTTGTGTAAAAATACAGTTTCTGATGCACCACAATATGATATATGCAAGCCAAAAAACAGATATTATGATCATTTTGCTTCAAAATGTGGAGTTCGAATGGGATAAAACGAGTACAAAAGTGGTAAGAAAGTTTATAATTGAGGGGGTGAATGTAATTACCCAAACAAGAGGGGGTTTGCGTAATTTGACCTTAACTCTGGGGTGGTTGTAATTTACCCTAACTTGTGATGTTCAATTGTAAGAAACTTTCATATCTGTCCAAAAATGACTATTTCCTGAACCATATCAAAAACAGTTTTTGAAAATTACCATTAATTTAGTATAATGACAACTTAAGCACAATTATTTATTGTAATTATTTAATTATGAATTTTAATTAGTATGGAAGAAGAGAAGCACATGGTCAGCTCTCCCAAATGCAGCTTTTATAATGAAAGAGGTCTACATTGCGACAAAAACATAGGCCTTAAATACCTAACCTCAAATCACAATCATCTTTTTTATTCTAAAATAAAAAATTAAATAAAAAATAAAATAAATCAAAATCATCTTTTTCTTTTGTATCCATCTTGGAAAAGGCCAAGACCCTATCCTCTTTTTTTTTTCTTTTTCTTTTCCATTATTATATATATATATATATTTTATTTCCTGGATTCTATGACAAACGTTAATCTCTTGGATGCTCCAGGACAACCTGGGTATCTACCATTGTCCTTCTTTTTTTTTTTTTTTGTTTTTTTAAATTTAATTTAATTTTTACAGAAAGATTAGACAAATGAAAAAAAACCCAGAAATTTAATTTGTAGCATCCGATGTTGGCTTTTATCTTAGGCTCAAAACTTTCATTTCTTTTGAGGAGACAAGACACTATTTTCTCCAAACCTGAGAAATTGTCTCTTTAAATTCTACTTATTTTGATTTATGTCTCCATTTTCTTTCTCTTTGGATCAACACATTTGGATACTCTCTTTCCAAACAGACAAACTCACACTAGCTACTACTACTACTATTATTGTTTAATTTTAATTCAATTATTATATTTAATATTTGAATCTTGGAATCTATTTTATTCAATCTTTGA